TTGCCTGTAAAAAGGTCCCTGATGTATCTCTCTGAAAAAGCAAGAAAGGAGATCTAACTTTTGTTTTCAATAGTTTGAAAGGATAGTAATAGGAAATGTGTACCTTGTCAATGATGGCGTATTTCCTAATATGCTATTCCTTCTGAGGTCACCATGGTGTAATAAATGAAGCCTGCTAGAGCAACAGCATTCTGCCTGGCTGTGTTATGAAATACAGGAGTACTCCAGCTAAATGCTGACGCTTCTAATTATGGCGGCTTTCAGAGATGGGAGCTTTTCGTCTAGGCCTACCTTGTGGCTTTCATTGCCTTTTAAAAAGGCTCAAACACATGGAATATTTTACTATAATGCTGTCTTTAAGGCCATCTACATTACAATATTTAAAAAAATAAAATAAATGTGCATTGCTTTTTTCATTGTGCGTCGTGGCATGTGAGGCTGGGTTTTAAAAGTAGCATCTTTTAATCTGTAGTAATGATGATTCTGCGTATGGAATGAGTGAATATCGTTTAGTTCTCTGGAAGTGCTCAGACTGCTATACTGAGCTTCAGTCCAGACCTCAATATTTGTTAATGATGAATTAGTCTTAACACTTGGCAGCTGATGCTGTGCAGGGAATCAAGAATGTATTTGTGGTCAGCTGTGGCTCTCTTCTGGTGACACATCTCTGGCTATAAAAGCAGAGCTAGTGTGCCAGGTTGAGAATTCACCGGCGTCTGGATGGTAAAGTTATTTGTGCTCCAGTATGTGAAGCTCTGAAGCACTTTGAGGTTTGCTGTCGATGATGCATCTTGGCGAATGAACAGCAATGCACTGGCACCAGCTCACAGACCTGTTCTACTGGAGTGAGTGAAAATCTGGGAGTTCTCTTGTCAAAGCATGAAATCCTAGTCCTCAGGCATATGAGCAAAGTGAGTTTGGGGCAGTCTTTTAAAGTAGTTCTTTTCATAGTGTTCTTTGCTTCTTCCAGGTATATATATGCAGCAATGTCCTGCAGATAAATTCATTTTTAAGAACTTTCTGGTGCTCAAAGGATTTTTCTAATTCCATGATGGGTTTTCCACGTTTGTGTTTTTGAGAAAACTGCTGTCTGCTTCCTTCATGTTTCATAAGTGATGACTGGGTTTGTACTGCTAGTGAGTATAATGGGAGAAAGAAAATCTCCTTAGCAGACTAGAGTCAAGACATGGCTCTGTTATAAAGTCTGTTAAAAGTTGCCCTGGGCAAAAGCAACGTGATGCATCTGTCCCACTGCCAGAATGATCTATATGATGTTGAATACCGAGACATTGTTTAGGTCTGTCCCGTTCAAGCCTGTTAACTTGTGAATCTCTGTTACAATGGTACTTGGGCAGCAGTGGGTGAGGGCATGGAGTGAGGCAGATAGAAAGGAACAAATGTAAAATATAGCAAATTCCCAAACTTCTACAGTTAATATTTTTAATGAATGCATCACCGTTTCTTTGTGTTGACCACCTGCTGTTTTCACTCTTCTTTCTCTGCATGCTCGATATTTTTCTCCCATCTGTCCCTTTCTCCTTGGCTGTAATGATGGGACAGAGATACTGCCTCCTCAGTCTTCATCTTCTCAGAGCTTGTATTAAAGCAACCTCATTGCTCCATTCCTCCCCGGCAGTATGTATGTGTTCATGTGTCTTTCTCATCTCCCCTTCTCCCATTCTCTCTGTGCTGTGTGTAGATATATATATCTACAGTAATGTGCTATCTCTGATGATCTAAGTAGCAATACTGCATACACAAGGTATGAAATAGAGTCAATATTGATCCATACATATATATGTACATACATATGTATATGTACATATAAAAATATATATATGTTGGATGCCTAGTACCTTTCATTGTACAAGATTCTTGTATGGTCTTTTTATGATGTGAAATAACACATTCTTCATTGTAACTGGCCCTTCAAACTCTGTAAGGAAAGCTTTTTTACAGCAAATCCTAACATTTTCTTCATGAAATTCTGTTAGGATCAGCTGTGCTTTGAACTGTTACAAGCTGTCATTTCTGTTGAATGTTTTCCTCAGGACATATTTTCCGTATGTTAAAATAATATCTAGAGAGAAAAAGTAGCAAGAATAGCATCTGCTATACTTGGAGGGTCTGAGAACACGGATCTGAGTCCATCCGCTGCAGGTCACTGCCTTCCTCTCCTGATGTGCAGGCTGCAGTGTGAAAAGTTCATGGTACAGACTACTGCTGGAGGAGGGGAGGAAGCAAGTGTTACTGTTAATGGCTTACTGGTTGGGTTGTTTTTTTTTTTGCAGAACCAGCCTTGGAAATTTGTACCAAAATCCCCTCTAGAACAGATGACTTTGCAATTAATATAATCTTCCCCCCCCCCTCAAGTTAGGAAATAGCAGTGAATTCCTTGTGTGTGCAACTCAGTTCTTGTCACCTCGGCAAACACTTGATGATGTAGCCTTTGGATTTTAACACCCTTAGCAACAAACTGTTTTTCCCTAAAATATAATTTTCTCTTTTAGAGCGTAGATTAGACACGAGTCTAAGAATTGCTTTGTCTGTGCTACTAACATATGCCCAGTACATGGAGCAGACTGAGCACGCTAAGTTCATCCCTTTTGCTGGATATCAAAAAAAAAAAAAAAAAAGACTTGCTGCTCAGATGCAGAGCTCTCACAGGACACGATAATGGATTTAATATATGTGAAAACTGCAGCAGGGTAGTAGGGAGCTATTTGTTCTCCATGCCCTTATTGGATAGGGCAAGAAGTGCTGTCCTTAAAATTGCAGCAAGAAAGATTCAGATCAGGCTTTTAGCAAAACTTTCCAAAGGCAAAGACAGTAAAGGGCTGAGATAGATATTTATCTAATCTGCTAAAGAATTCCAAAAATGTGTGGTCTCTGCACACAATCTGTCAGGGACCAAGTATTGATTCATATCTTGAATGTTACCCTTTCCAATGCAACAAATTAAAGCTTTCTGTGTAGAAGAGCTCAGCTGGAGATAAGTGATGTTGAAGTGAGCTGGCATGAAACCAGCCTTGCTTGTGCCTAGTACATCCAGACCAGTTGGAGGAAAGATTGGGTTTATACTAAGGCACAATGCAAGAATTTCATCTTCATCCCCAGTACCGCTCCAGAGCTTTATCTAAGCCTGTACCTACCAACATGCTTGCATGCAAGTGATATGGTGGCAGGAGTGTCTGGCTTGGACCTGTGCTTGATTGATAGTCTTTTTCTATCTTTAAGGGTTACTCTGGCTGCTGTAAATCCGCATTTTCCAAATTTTGAAAGTTTGGTTGTGAACATTCTTTTCAGTATAATATTTTTTCGATATGTGTTGCCGCATAGCTGGCAAGGTTTGATATTCTGTGGCATTTGCACAGTATTCTCCTTCGCAGGCAGTTCTACTAATTTCGGATTCATGCTGTTGAGTCCAGTGGATGTAACCGAAGCACAAGGTTTTGCCCAACAACAATAAAGGATGTAAAGTGGCCATAATCCCAATCATGAGGTGTGCTTTTAAAATAATGAGCAACCAAGATTAGTTTAACCCTTATGTTCTTATTTTGGAATTTATTTGTTGTTGTTTTTCCTTTTTTGTTATCAACAATGAGGAAGATGCTTTCTATAAAAATCTATTTATCTTATTTATTAAAATGGAGAGGGTAAAATGAGTCAGTAAATGTGAAGGACAATTTTATACCTCCAAGTCTTACCCCAGTATTGCTTTTCGAACAAGCTTTACTTTGAGTTTCTAGCTGCAGGTGTAAACTAGCCAGCAATTCCCACAGCCCACAGTGTGGCTGTATGAAGGAAGCCAAGTTCCAGTATAGGTCTGCAGTCTTTCCATGTGAGTCTGCCTTCTTTTGGGGATGCTCTGGAGCCACCACAGTGCGTGTGTATGAGTTGAAGTGAAGGTTTGCTGGAAGACGTGACCGTGGAAGCAGAAAAATATTCATACATCTATTTGTTTGCTAGCTTTAGTACTCAGGCACTTAACTGAAAAACAACAGCAGGTAAACCAAAAGTTGAGCAGAAAGAGCTGAAAGATATTTTTATCTATTTTAACAGAAAATCATATGGTAGGGAGAAGTACAGGAGAAAAGAAATGAAAACACAATTTTGTCAACTGCTCCGTGGTATTTTTTCTAAGCCCAGCTCTGAGTGATGTGGTTACATGAGAACTTGTGGCTTCCTGAAAATCTATGTGTCTGGGGGCTGAAAATCCAGAAAGAAAGTAGAAAGAATGGCAAATGTTGATTTTTATAATGTGGGATTATTTTGGGGCTTGTTCCCGTTACATTTTAGGGAACCTGCCCTATTGTATTTTGAACACTTGAATAAACTGAGCGTTTTGAAGATGTTATAACAGTGAATGTGCTTAAAAGCAGTGGATTTTAAAATAGAAAATGTTGGTTTTAAGTCAAAAGATGCATTACTGGCAAAGTGTATCGTGTATTCCTAGTAAGCTACACAGTGCGGGGAGGGTCCATTTCGGCAAGGACTATATAGTCCTTGGGGGGGAGGGTCCATTTCGGCAAGGACTATATATATCTGGGAAATAAAGAAAGACATACTTAAAATATCATTGTGGGGAGGAGAAGCCAAAGGTATTCCTTCATTTTTTTACAGCAGACTGAGGCCCCTCTTAGCATGCAGATTCACAGCTTAATTAGGAGTTCAGGTTTTAGGCCATTCGTGAAAGGTTTCGAAACGACTTTCTTCCTTTCTCCACCTGTCATGTACACAGCTGCTCAGTTAGACACTTAGCATGGTAAGTGCATGCATACTTCCCTGTTACAGCCTGTGAAGTTGTGCTATACATTGTGGGCAGGACGATTCTCAGATCAGGACCTGTAGCCAATGGCAGCAGCTCCTTTGCGTGTTGAACTCGGAGGGCTGACCTAACTGAAACCGCGAGCTGGGGAAAGGCTTGTCCACCTGCTGAAAAGGGTCTGATAGGTTGCGGTATTTCCCACCCCACTTCTCTGATCGATTCTCTCTTGCAGGCAGGAATGGCATCTCCTGAAAACCCCGAGCAGTTGATCATTGCCCTGGAACCCGAGGCTGCCTCTATCTACTGCCGAAAGCTCCGCCTGCACCAGATGATAGACCTGAGTAGTAGGGCGCCTGTCAATGGTTATAGCCCAAGTGACACTACTGGAACTGGATTTACACAGGGTACTTCTTCTATTAACTCACTTCTTTAGATTCTTATGCCTAAGTTTGCTTTGTTCATGAGGGCTGTTTTCTTACCGTTTCCTGTTGTCTTTGCTATCTTGAAATGTTTCAGGCTAGCATTGGTTTGCTTCTGTAAACTGTTTTGCTGTTTACTGTAATTAGACTAGTTCAGGCATTGATCCAGCAGGCATGTTTGCGCACACTTGAATTTTAGCACGCAGGTAGCTTCATTGCCTTGCCTTTACTGGGATGTTGTGGGAGCCTTGTAGTATTTTCACAACAGTATTTTTCTGCTTTAATTAAAATCAATACTTCATGTTGGATCATTTTTTAAATTTGATTTGTTGGAAACAATTATGTGTTCGATTAACTGCATTATTGAAGCAGGGTTAAATAGCTGGATCTGCAATGAGACTTTTAGTCTGAGGTGTTCCAGAGTTTTGGCAGATGCTTTCTTATGTCATCTTTATGAAATATCATTAATTACTTTCAACACTCAGGGGAACACGTGGTATTGGAATATAGCAATGAATTTATCTGCTCGTAGAAGAGCAACTAGATACGACAGTTTGATTTATTGACCTGGGATCTGTTGCTAATATCAGTGCTTGAAGACTGACTTACACTGTGGCCCAATCTCTGTCCCTCATTGTAAGTCACTTGCCAAAAGATCCTTTGTCACCAAGTATTTTTGAGCTTGGTATCCTACCTGAGATTGGAGGAAAATAGGAGAGAAAAAAACAAAAGGAAAACAAAGCAGTAGTAAGATGCAATTGCTGCATAACGCACAGATTTCCCGTCTGTGTGAACTGTAACAGTTGCACTGATATTGGTGGTAGTGTGCCAATCTCTCCCAGAAGGAATTTTTCAGAAGAATTTGTATTTTATATTTACTAGGTCAAAACAGTACAGGCAAATGGAAGGTTAAGCTAGTAAAGCTATTCCTGTGCTTACTGGAGGGCATTTTTTTTCAGTTAGGTGGAGTCACTACATCATTCTCTCATACCCGTGCCTCCCCTAGCCAGCACTTGTCAGATGTGTTCAGTGTTACAGAGGCACACGCAGAGCACAGGACACAATCCCTTTTCAGGACACAGTCCCTTCAGGGGCTCCTTGCCTTCTGTCCCCCTCATTCGTGTCCTGAACCGTTCCACTTCCATGTGATTTTACATGAACTCACTTTCAGGCTCCACAGGGATTTGCCTCTGGGAAAATAATAAAAGAAGAGAGTTTCTCTGGTTAAGGTTTTGAAGCTGGGCAGAATCTGGCAGCTCATGGATTTCTGCTAACGGGCTTTTTCTTGGATGGGGGGGTACCATTCTGCTTCTTGAGTTTGTATGGCAAAAGCTATTGGGGATGAGAAAGGTTTCATGTCAAAATTAATGAAAACAAAGTTTGGAGCGAATTAATTTGGGCTTAGAATTAAAATTTCATAAAGGCATGGCAGGCACCCAAGACAAGCTGAGAACAGATTGAGGAGAAAAACCCCTTTAAATATAAACAGAGGGAAGCACTCCAAGGACCGTATTATTGCTGTGAAGTCAAAACAAAAATTTTACTGTTCATAGTAGCCAGGATAACCTTACTTCAGTCGTAGTTAAAGACTGGCTCTTGTGTTCACTTCTAGCCCACAGGAGTGAATGAAAGGACTCCCATTGACTTCTGTGGGCTCTGTGTCAGGCCCTTGCTTGGACCTAGTGCTTGTTCTGTCATTGAATGCTTCATCGTTTAAGCTCTCACTGTGTGCTGCTAAGTCAGCACAGGGAGGCTGATGTGGCTTGTCTGCATCGTAGGGTCTTCATGGGGAGGGTGTGGGTGCAAGTGGAACTGCTGGTCTTTTTCTGATGATAGGCACTATAGAAACAAGAAGCAAAAGACATTCAGTGATTTGTATGCTGATGTTTTCAGAAAGAATAATATTTTCATGCATGACAGGATGCTTCCTTTCCTCTGTAGTGTTCATTAGAAGTGCCTTTGAAGGTGTTTGAAGGCTACACAGGGAACGACTTCTTGATCGTTCAGTTGTAGGGGTTGATTAAGAAGCATAATAGCAAAGGCTCTTGCTACTCTGCTTTCTTTTCACAGACTGTTCTTCATCTTTTAAATGTCTAAGTAGCAATTAAGTCTTGTAAGTTAACTTACTGCTATAATAGTATTGCTAGATTATGCTTAATTTTTAATTGGTGTCTATTTAAAGTATTATGAGGGTCAGACTTGGTGATCACTGTGGCCTTAAGAAGTTATAAATCTGTGAACCAATGATTTCGGCTGCTTGTTTTGAGACAGACTGACGTCCTGAAAGGCTCGGGAGGTGTCTTTGCCTGAGCACCCGAAATCAGCAGTGGCTTTTGAAAACGTGGTGATTGTCTCCCTGGCCCTGGGTGGCGCAGGTTGGTCTGGCAGCGGGCCGGGGCTGCCGCCTGGCGGCAGAGGCTGCCCTGAGCACAGCTGGCTGCGAGCCTGCCTGGTTCCAGGCAGCACTCGAATAAAAGTGTGAATCTAAAAACCAGAATATAAAAAAAAAATAAATCAGACCTGTTTATAGCTTTCGTGTTAGGTTATTGATTTTAATCCAGCTAGTATCAAGGAAGATCAGTGTGGCTGAAAAACATTTCTCCTTTCTAGGAACGATGTTATAATGTCCCCGATTCTAATGCAGTAGTTTTTGTTCATTTGTTTTGTTAAGAAGTGATACGTACAGATCTGTCAGCCTGCTTGCACTTGTTTCCTGCGGCTTATGATATCAACCTCTTCATGCTTTCTTATACTTAATAATTTTTTCTCTGTTAATGACTAGCTAAGGAACATGTCCGTCGTAATCGACAGAGTCGTACCTTTTTGGTGGAAAATGTCATAGGAGAGATCTGGTCCGAACTGGAGGAAGGTAGTGTCCTTTCTTGAATAAACTTTGCTCTCACTGGTTTTATATTGCAGGCAAACATTGTGTTTCCCACAAATGTGCTGTGCACTGCATTGTTGTTCTCACAGTGATTATAAATAGGAAGAGGGAAAAATGTAAGTTCATGTGCTGCTCTTAGTTGCTGAGGCTGAATTGCAATTCTATATGCTCTAGCAAAATATGGTTTATTAAGGAGATGATAGAAAGGAATCCAGGCTTTAAAATGCAACCAGAATATTTTCCTCAGAATAGGCCTTGCAAATATGCCATAGTGTTAATTTGGTAGCCTGCTAGAATGTACACCAGCAGCCTGAGCAGTTCTACTAATCTACTTTTCATCTGTGCTAAATCAATAGCTTTTGACATCTGAATTTCCTATTTGTTATCAATCATTGCATTATAATTACTAATAAAGACCAAGTCTTCAGTGTAGATATTCATGACTTCCTGTAAGTCATTATCTCTCATGGTGATAATGCCCCTGAGAAGCTTTCATTGCAATATGCTGTTGTGATAACGCTAATGTAAATACCATTCGCCTGTTCCTTTGGCAAACTAGGTGACCGTTACATCGTTGTTGACAGTGGAGGAGGCACAGTGGATATGACTGTCCATCAGATCAGGCTCCCTGAAGGACATCTTAAGGAGCTATACAAGGCAACAGGTAATGTCACTTCTACTGCTTGCTGTATTTATGTAATATTTTTACTTGTCAGTGAAGGAAATGTGTGCCTTTATTATTCACGACATTTCACTAACAGTTGTTCCTGAAATAAGACCAGCATTCAAAATTAGTATAACCTAGCTGCTGGTCAGCAGACAAGAATAAATCACTTAATGCTTCTGATGCTTTGGGATGGTAAACCTCATATTGGAGGGGTAAGGAACTGCTATCTCCTGTGTTATTCACTCCCATTCAGGCCATGACCTCCTGCCGTGGTCCTGGTCTGACTTCTGCTAGTAGAGTCGTCATCTTCCTGTCCTTTGAGAGGTCACCTGTGTATCGCTGCTCTGTCCAGGTATTCAGAGTTGTACTGTGGAGATACGAATAGCTGAGTAAAGTAAAGTGACTGTTGGCAGAACAGAAGTTTCCCTAGATTTAAGGGGAAGCTTATATATTTCAGTAATTTCAGACAGTGTAACAAGGAGGTTCTACAATCCCCTGGGAAAAATGCACAATGACTGGTCCACAACAAAGATATGAAGTGCAATTCCTTGAATGGTATTCGCATCCTGAACTCCAGATCCCCTTTGACTTTGTCCCGTGACTAAGCTGTTACCCACACGAAACAGCCTATTATTTGTTCCTGTGTCTCCATACTGAGTTAGTCTTCGTCTGTATGGATCATCACTGAGCGTTCTCAGTCCTGGTGGCTGTAAGACTACCTCAGGAAAGGTAAGAGCGGTAATGGGACACTGTACATCAAGTCCATCTACTCCTGAATATGAGTCCAACTCACACTTTCTCATGTGTGGATAAGGAGGCAGTTTCCTTTGCTTGTAATAAAAATGTTTCTGTTACATTACAATGGTAACGTAACATTACCATTACAGTGGTAATGTTACAGTGGCTGTGGTGGTATAGGAGTAAAAGTGAAGCAAAGGTAAGATTATGTTCTGTATTAGACCAACTGTTACATTTAGAAAAGATACCTCTTTCTGTAGACCTTCTCCTATGGCGGTCCTAGTAGTGTCAATCTGATGTGTACTTGGGCAACTTGAAATCTAGTAAGCAGTTCAGAATATTAAAGCTGTGTTTTGTTTGTAATACAGGTGGACCATATGGTTCTCTAGGTGTGGACTACGAATTTGAAAAGCTCCTGTGTAAAATATTTGGAGAAGATTTTATTGAGCAATTTAAAATCAAGCGTCCTGCTGCCTGGGTAGATCTGATGATAGCATTTGAGTCCCGTAAACGGGCAGCAGCTCCAGACAGGACCAATCCACTAAACATCACTCTGCCTTTCTCCTTCATTGACTATTACAAGAAGTTTCGAGGTCACAGTGTAGAACATGCCTTGAGGAAAAGCAAGTGAGTAGACGATTGGACCCAAATGGATGCAGAATTAACTACTGATAGCAAAGACAAATAATTAAAATATCCTAATTACATGTAGACTGAAAGATAATAATGTAAAAATGTAATATAAGGATGAGAAAATGGGATTGCCTGAAGTGCAGTTTCCAGAATGAAAAGTTCTGATAAATCTCTTGCAAAAGCTTTTCTACACAAGACTTGCACTCTCCTGGTATTGCTTTCTATGATTTTCGTTAGGCCACCACTGCATCACTTTCCTGAATTTGACCATATATTTTGAGTCTCTTAGTGTTAATTAGGAAGATCAGATCAAATACAGAATTTGACGTCTAAAAGTTAGTTACCTAGAACCTTAACTTTTAGAGGCCTGGGCCCTGGAACAAATCCAAGATCCTGAGTGAGATGTGTAAGTATATTCATGACTTGAAGAAAATTATGAACAATGCAAGATTACCATTGAAAACATATACTATTGCATAGAGCTCTGCCAGAGGAAATCATTCTGCTTTTGAAGTGATGGCAGGCTTTCCTTTCTCCTAGTATGTTACAGTTAGATCATTTGCTCAGTAGATGGGGAGACATAATTCCCTGCAGAGATTTTAATTCCTGATTGTAAGTATCAAGAAAGCACCCTAAATGACAAGGTCACAGGCTGCTACACAAAAGGAAGTGAGGAGAAAGTAGAAGTGGGCATTTTGCGTCTTTTGAAGTCATATGCTACAGGAGTCCTGGAGATTAATGGCACCAAAGAGAATGAACAAGAGAGCCTGCTAATCTGGGGCAGAATGCTTGGGACCCAAGAGCAGAAGACATGGTATTTAGTACCTGAACCTTGGCTTCTTTCTGCATTTTTTAATCCAGTGAATGTTGAATGTAGCATGCAGGCTGAAACTCCTGCATCTCTTCCTAAAGTTAGTGGTAAATGTACTTTAAGCCTAAATGACTTGGAATCCAGCATGGAATCACTTCCTAATGAGACTGAGGTTCTGAAATCATTAAAAATTTCTGGAAATATTCCCCCTCACAGGACCATCTCCTTCTTATTAATAGTCTTAATGGTGAATCTCAGAGGGAATGCTAAATGTTCCCTTCAAATAAAATGAAATTAATTGGATAACGGGATAGAAAGAGTATAAAGGTGACATATAAAGTGCATGAATGAAAAGGAGATTACTGAGCTATATGGATGTGCATCAGTGATGGAATAACATGATGCCTGTATTCACTTAACAAATGTTATGCCTCATTAAAAATGCTGTGCTCCCTTCTGCCTCCTGAGGCTTCCTATACTTGCTTGTTTTCCTTGTGTGTTTCCAGTGGCTTTGGCCTGCTGCCGCTATAATCTAAATGTTGCCCTTCTGGGGATGAATCGGTGCTGTTTCAGATGAGTGAGCACTGGATTGACTGCCAGCTGTTTCAGGAAGCAGCTGAGCATTGGTAATGCTACAGAAGGCAATCAGGCAAAGAAAACAACACTTAGACAAGCAAAAAATAACAATTCTCCCTTGAAATTTTGCATTGCTGTAGTTGGTATGGGGCTAGGGTGAGGTGAGGCACTTTCTTCCAAGCAAAATGCATGCAGATTCTGTGAACTCATTCATTTCTTTATTTAGTGTGTCTTGTGAGTGCTTGGCTGTTTCTTAGAGCTCAGCTGTAATGTTTTAATGTCCTTTCTAACCGTTCTTTTCCAGTGTGGACTTTGTGAAGTGGTCCTCCCAGGGAATGCTGAGGATGAGCCCGGATGCAATGAATGCTCTTTTCAAACCTACAATTGACCAGATTGTTCAGCACCTTAGTACGTATCTGTGTGTAATTCCACTTTCCGGCTGAGCTGAAACTGAAGTTTTGCTTACCTGTTTCAAACCAGTAACTGGAATTAAAGTCAAACAACCGCCCTAGTACGCACCAAATGCGGGCAAAGAATTTAGTTCTGAAACTTGTAGTTCTCTACAAAGTAGTTAGGAAAATAATAAAAGTAAGGGACATCACCTTAACACGTATTCCTACCTAGTTCTAGTACTAGTTACTGAATGTGATTCAGTCCTGTTACTGCCTAAGCTTCAATTATTCTGTACTTCCAGGGCTGCAAGCATTCAGAAGGCTGAAATGCACTGACTAACCCAGGTCCTGCTTTTCTTTTTCCTGTTTAGGCAACAACTAAATAATGCCAGAGACATAACTAGTTTCTGATTATTCCTGTTATGAAGACCTCTAGTTCATTTCTCCTCAGTAGAAGGGCTTATAAAGTCACATTTGTTCATGACTGTCCAAATCACTGACATCTCTAAGACACAAATAATAAATGATGCATCATGGTAAAAGTACTTCCAGGCATGGCTTAAGCAGCACTGAATTTATTTATCCAGTAATGGGAAGTGATGTAGGCTTATTGGGAAATTTATTATTTAAAGTCTTCCTGGTGGAAGATTGGATTTGTATCGAGTATAATTATGTACTGAGCAAAGTATTGCTGTTCTACACATTACAAAGCACTAACTGAATTGTATTTGGAGTGGAATATCCAGCTTTACTCGCTATATGTGAGGAATTACTAGATAAATTTTGAGAGGTCACAACTTAGCTAGTACAGAACAGCTTATATGTGAGCAGAGAGGTAGAGGTCTAGAATTACAATAGTGACAGATACCTCAGTCATGCTGCCTCCGTTATTTGAGCCTACAACTGAATGATTTTCTTGAAAGTAGGGGATGTGGGCTTAAGCTAAGAAGGAACATCTGTAAAAATGTGAAGAGGTATTATTTTGCAGATAGTACATGTGCTTAAGATGTTAGGGTCAGAAATAATAAGTGAATTTAAAATGGGGTGACTTATCTGGAATGCAGTAAAGGGTATGTGAATCGGTTAGGTTTGGGAATATCTCACTGATACTTGAAGTGGCAAGATGATGTCTGTTTCCCTACCACCCATAGTATGACTGGCAGGATTTCTTTGCAAGAAATCCGTGTCTCCCTTTACTGGTAGAAGCTAAATAAAAATGCTGTTTTAAGTGCCACTTCAGAAATATTGTATGCTTTGAGGTCAGTTTCCATTCACAGTGAAATAGAGTATAGAAGAGACTGTGCATGTACATGTGCATGGGACATTCAGTGCGCTCAGACATTAGGAGTTTCACCTGCATTGCCTTGTCACAGTGGATTTTTCCCTATTGAATGGGCTCTGTTTCTGTTTAGGTGATGTGTTTGATAAGCCAGAAGTGACCAATGTCAAGTTTTTGTTCCTGGTGGGTGGCTTCGCTGAATCACCCTTACTCCAACAAGCTGTCCAGAATGCTTTTGGTTCAAGATGTCGAGTCATCATTCCTCAGGATGTGGGGCTCACTATCCTCAAAGGAGCTGTTCTCTTTGGTCTAGACCCTGCTGTCATCAAAGTGCGGCGTTCACCTCTCACCTACGGTGTGGGTGTGCTCAATCGATTTGTGGAAGGGAAGCATCCACCAGAGAAGCTTCTAATCAAAGATGGTACACGCTGGTGCACTGATGTCTTTGACAAATTTATCTCAGCCGACCAATCTGTAGCCCTTGGAGAAACTGTGACACGCAGTTACACACCTGCCAAACCTTCTCAGTTAGTAATAGTGATCAATATCTATAGCTCAGAACAAGATAATGTCAGCTTCATCACCGAATCTGGAGTGAAAAAGTGTGGCACCCTTCGCTTGGATCTCACGGGAACTGATGCTTCAGTGCCAAACCGGCGGGAGATCAAAACACTTATGCAGTTTGGGGACACTGAAATCAAAGCCATGGCCGTTGATGTTGCCACCTCTAAAAGTGTCAAAGTTGGTATTGATTTCTTAAACTACTAACAGCCCATTATCCCCACCAAAGCCTGTTTGTGAGACTGATCTTCCACTATGCCATTTTTTGACTTTCATATATCACGTAATCAACTTGAATTTCAGCAGGCTATAGGAGAACAGCTAGTAAGGTGGGGTGTGTCATGTTTGTGCCCCTTGATGACCAAAGACTGGATTTTGAAAGACCCTTAAAAAGTTTTGGGAGCAAAAGTTCCAGAGGTAGTAGAAGTTCCCAAGTTACTCAAGCATGCTTAAAGATCTACCTTTATTAAGTAAATACTTATTATTGTTGGGTCCTGAAGATTAGTTAAAAAGATATAAAATCATAATCTCTTTGCCTTGTTCTTGTTCTTCTTCCTCTTCCTCCCAAGAAAAACTCACTAACCCACGTGGTTGTTGTAGGGGGCGTATCTGTGTGGGGTATCTGTTTAAACGGCACTATCCTCTGGCAATGGGAACAAATTAGCAGTCTATAGTATTCTTTTGTTCCTTTGATTTTGCCCTGTGCTTTCAAAATTTTAAGTGCTGAAAATCAATGACTTAAAGAAGTGGGAACTGAGTTTCTTAAATTCTGAGATCCCACTGAAAAGAAAATCCTCATAAATCCTTAAAATTAGATTTAGGGGAAAAAAAATATTTATATTAGGAGCCTAATACTGATTGCTCCAGTTTGAAAACAAGGCCTTTATTGTCAAAGCTCTCAGAACTAGCTGTTGGATTAAATAGCTAGCATTACCCTCATTATACTTTGGAAAATTATTACGAACAAAGCTATTTCCCTTTTTGGGTCTTCTAAACTTACTTTATTAGTCTCCATCTGAAATCATAGAATCACAGAATAGCTGAGGTTGACTACCATTGACTATCTGGTCCAACCTCTCAGCCCTAAGCAGTGTCAGCTAGAGCAGGATACTCTGTCCAGTTTTTAATATCTCCAAAGATGGAGATGCCTAAACTTCTCTAGGCAACCTGTTCTGGTATTTGATAACCCTCACTGCAAAAAAGTTCTTTCTTATGTTTAAAAGGAATTTCTTGAGTTTCAATTTGTGACCATTGCCTCTTGTTCCTTCACTGGATACCTCTGAGAAGTCTGGCTCCATCTTCTTTACTGTCCTCTATCAGGCATTTATATACATTCCTAGCGTCCCCTGAGCTTTCTTGAGTCTAAACACTCTCAGCCTCTCCTCCCATGACAGATACTCCAATCCCTTAATCATCTTCATGACCCTTTGCTGGACTCAGTCCAGTACATCCATGTCTCTCTTGTACTGAGAAGCACAGAACTGGACCTGGCACTCCAGATGTGGTCTCACCAGGGCTGAATAAAGGGGAATAATCGCTTTCCTTGACCTGCTGGCAGTGCTTTTCCTAATGCACCCCAGGAGGCTATTGGCATTCTGTGTGGCAAGGGCACATTGCTGGCTCACGCTTAACTTTTATGTCTACCAAGACCCCGAGGTCTTTTTCTGCCAAGCTGTTTCCCAGCCAGTTGGCCCGCAGCATATACTGGTGCATGGGGCTGTTCCTCCCCAGGTTCAGGACTTTGCACTTCCCCTTTGTTGAATTTTATGAGGTTCCTGTCTGCACGTTTCTCCAGCCTGTCGAGGTCCCTCTGACCCATCTGGTTTATCAAGCACTTCTCCAAGCGATTATATTTCTTTTTTTGTTAATCCCTGTGTTAAGATTTGGAAGTACCGTTAGATGATGGCTGTCCAGGAAGATTTAAACAACTTAAAAGAGAGAAAATGTCCAGATCAAAAGTACCGTAATATATTTTGAGTGGCAAACATTTTAATTGAGTAAAATATATTTCTGGGTTGAGTTGAATGGCTAGTAAAGTGGAAGGCAGAAGCCAAGAGAATGAAACTACCGATAGCATTAAATAAAGCATTCCTTACATGGCTATGAGCACACAACTGTAACGCAGGTGAAATACAATGATGGTCATGGTAGCATCTTGTTTTCCAAATAATAAATTTCTGGAAATGTTTTCTTAACCACATTCACCTGGAAAATTTCTTCTGCAACTGGAACAGTTTTTATTTTGCAAAACGCTACAGGTGGACAACTTCTGAAACCTACACTCTATGTCTGCTATGAACTGACAGCTTCAGATTCAAATCCAAATCCCACTCCAAATTGGCAGACTGATGCTAATCTGTAGAATCACCCTAAAATGCTGACACTTTCAGAAAATTTATACAGAGCTGCCTGATTACCTGCTGGAATTCAGTACATTTTTTGAAACTTTGCAATGTTAACTGTTAAACTAAACCCTCGTTCCTAATAAGTTGAGCATGAGTTAAATCCATTACTGACACTTTTGGGAAATGAAAGCTTTATCAATTATTTTACTAATTTACGTTCCAATCCTGCACTTAAGCTTTCTGTGTTTAGCCTGGAGTTTTGCCACAGTAAAGAGCTGCAGAACTGGTCTACTGCATTTTGCCATTCAGTTTTCCATGTCTCCTGCAGAATTCCCTAGTATAAGTTGAGCATGAGTTAAATCCATTACTGACACTTTTGGGAAATGAAAGCTTTATCAATTATTTTACTAATTTACGTTCCAATCCTGCACTTAAGCTTTCTGTGTTTAGCCTGGAGTTTTGCCACAGTAAAGAGCTGCAGAACTGGTCTACTGCATTTTGCCATTCAGTTTTCCATGTCTCCTGCAGAATTCCCTAGTTGAATATGAAATGTGTTCCGCATTCAGCTAAAAAAAAAAGAGAAAAAAAAAAAAAAAAGGACTGTGGAGAACGCTAGTCACAGTACCTGGCTAGATACTTTCTATAATTACAAAGTGTGCTTGCTAGCATTCAGTTTCCCGCTGTCTGCAAAATGCTTTAAAAGCTAAATACCGGGATTTTTTTGTGTGTTGCTTTCCATGGTTTACAAACGAGAAACTTTAAGATGAGTTATGAACAATATAATTTTATGTATATACAATATTTAAATATTGTACAGACTCTTTCTGTCTACAGTGCTATTTTCTTGTATAAAAATGCTCTTTGCCTCTGTTGATTTCATTCAGCTGTTAATTTTAAATAACATAGTTTCTCAATCAGCTTCTGTAATTATAGGCTTTTAAAGTTGGTAAGATATGAAGTGTAAAAGGCTGATCTTATAATGACAGGCAAGAAATGTTGGTGTGTCAGAGAATACAACATTCTTCCTGCAATGCAAGTCATACCAGTTAAGCATATTACACAGATGCATTAGTATGTTGCTGGGATTTTCATTTCTTTGTTTCAGATGGTGACCATTCCATCTCCAGCAGTTCATCATAATAATGGATGAATCCTCCTGTAAAACCAAGTTAAAAATTAGATTGTATGATCTGGATATACAGCTTCTTCACTGGGTTTTGGGGTTTTGTTAAGGATCTTCCCCTTCTTCACTGGGTTTTGGGGTTTTGTTAAAAAATAATAGTTTAAAAAAAAATGAAACACAAAACTACCTTCCAAAGACAGGCAACAGTGATTTATTGTAGCTGCGGGTAAGGCCCAGTCTCTGTCTACAACTACCACCTACCTAAAGACAAAATTCTTAAAGAAAAGTAGGCTTTGGTGTCTTTGCATCCTATGTTAAACTGAATTGGTCCAATTCTGCACAGATTTGTTTCCTGTGACCTTAGGTTAGCACAGACTGGTCTAATAAGTGGCTGCAACCACCCCCTCTATCCCCCCAAGAGGAGGCGAACTGCAAGATCAGGTGGCCCTGATCTTTGTTGGTCTTGATTTTTGTGCTGTTTTCAGCCTGTCTGCAGGGAATGCTAAGGGTAGTTTCTGCAGCTCTTCTGAAGCATCGCAGCGATTCTCTGCCCTTTCTTATTCACCTTTTGTAAGATTCCATCTGAATCCAAGCAGGGGTTTGTTGCTGAAATGACTCCACTGTAACTGTAAAGTGTGGTTTGCATATTTTCACACTTCCTCATTCAGCCTGATGAGAGCACTATCAAGCTTATCTTTGCAGAGCACTGAACTACTGAATAAACTCCCAGCTGTCCTCGTTGCCCTCTTTAAATCTAAGAATGGAAAATTAGCTTGTCTCTCTAAGGAATTAGAATTGTAAGTAGAATATTATGCTGTGGTCTGTAATCTATAACCCGGTTAAACAACTTTACATTGTAAGTGGCATGTGGATGCCCATTTTGATAAAGGATGTTGGGCTGTAAAATTAATATGAAATTTACTAGGAAAGGAGTCATTTTTAGAATAGTAGTTCTGATACTTTTGCAGGAGATTCCCTGCAGAGCGTTTTTTGGAAGGGGTTTCAGATGACATTGTGCAACTCGATGTTGAAAAGACAAGGCCTGCTGTCCTTAGGGAAAGCAGAAGTTTTGCTCTAAGGAGCAACTTGCAAGTTTGGGTCTAACTTAACTCTAGACTGAAAGTTAGCAGGTAATTGTGATAGAATGATTAATTGTGCTAGAATATGATAAATGTGCAGTGATGGTTAGGACAGTGTACATTGGTATGAATATACCAATATTTATATACAGGAGTTTTAATGCATTATTATGAGAAGGCTAATTATATATTGCAGAGATTTAATCGCCAAGATAAGCTGCATATTTATGATATGAAGTGGCTTAAGCGGATGAATAGTATAAAAGTTGTTGGGCATAACGTCACAGTACTCACCTGCTTGAAATAGTCTTAAACTATATTATAAAACCAACCATTGTGGTCTTGTTCACCTCTGTGCAAGATAAATTCAGATTTCACTGATGTTTGGAGCTGTTCACAACTTGTCTGGATTGTATCTTGAGTGTTCTTGTGTCTTCAACCATGTCAAATAAACTACAGTAAAACTAAGCTTTCTTTTTGGGTGTTACTATTTTTATGAAAATCACTATAAAAAGGAACCTAATTTATTTTGAAAGTGAGAAAGGCCAAGTGGTTATACTTGCGTTTGGATACTCCTTCCTATGTGTAACTGAGCAAAGGAGATACCAACCGTATGTGCTGCTTATCAGATTTCTTCAACCTTTTAGATGCGTGGGCACCTAGAGTCTTTGCCAAAGCCTTGCAGGCCCAGCACACACAACTCTGACAAGAGGTTGCTGCATTTTTAGTTCACTTGTGTACTTTCTAGGGGGACTCAGTATGTGCCCGAGGTGGAAGTCCACTGCTGGCGATTACTCAACTTCCACCAAAGTTGGTGTAGCTCTCAGTAGGGCGTCTGTTGGAGTTAAGACAAAAAGACTTTGGGCGATACCAAAAGCCGGTAAGTTATTTTCTGTAATGATGCTTTGAGGGAGCTGGGAAATCAAATATGAAAACTGATACATCAGAGAGGACTGTAGTCTCTTAGGCCTTGTCAAAGGCTGGTTTATTGCTAGAACTGTATTATCAGGCCAATAAACTGGCCAATAACCAGGTATATTTGCATGAGAGTTTACATCTTTACTGTGTGTTTCTAGATCTAGGAATGTTTAGTAAGATCCAGCTGCACTGAAAAAAACTTGTATAACAGTTTGTGCAATATTATGTTTTTCTGCTAACGGTTGCAGGCCTCTCAAATTCGGCAGTGTTGGCACTAGCTATGGGGACGATTCAGTGGTGTGTGTGACCTTAGTCTACAATGCTGCTCAGACACAAAGATGCAGAGAATGCACTGAGGTGCATAGCAGCCGCTACACCCCAACTTCCACCTATTTGCTGCAATGAAGATGTTTTACAAGTGCTTTATGACTATAATTATAAACACCGTCCTAATAGGCTAGGTACTGTATTTAACTTGTAATGAACTTGATTTCAGCTAAACATTCAATTAATGTTACTAGTACAATGGGAAATATAATTACAGTCTTCAGGGACACATTAAGAACCAAATTTTGCTTTCAGTGTTCTAGCGCATTGCTCTTGGTTTCTAGGGGAGTTTCACGTATGTGCATTCACTGGCAGAATTTGGCCCTTTTGCTGGACTTTCCTAAATCTTAAATTTTTCTCATATGAGTGTGTTTATATTTAAAGTTACAGCCCCATCTTGATAGGAAGGAGTTTGTATAAATCGCTGGTTCTACCAAGATCACATAAATCCTTACGGAAATTTGCAGACTGTGTTTTCATGTTAATAGCCATGGAATAAAACAACTTCTGAAACAACCTCCGTGACAGCAGTGTCCAACGTCCCAAAGAGATTCTTTCCTTTCAGTTTTCTAAGCAGCTACATTAAACACCACCCAGACATCTGTCTTAAGGACAATGGATTCAGAATCCCCTTAGCGCAAGAGCTGCCTGATTATCAAGAGATGCAGCTCAGATAAATCGGTGAGAACTGCAGATGCTTTGTGTAACTGGGATTCAGGCCTGTTACTTGCCAATCTATCTCGTTAGGTACTGATGTTGGAAAACTTGTACTTACTTTATTAGGAATAAATTCTGTTTTATTAGTTCTCATTCATCCCTTGTTATGTTCTAACACACAGAAACATTTTTGTGGTGGGACCGCTGTAGCGTGACAACAAAGTATTGGGGGGGCAGAATTTTGTGCTTTTGTTCCTTCAAATAGAGATCTGAAAGTAGATATTCAAAGAAAGGAAGAAGTTTGCACTACAACCTGTGCAGTTCCACAGATGCAAAGAGCAATTTCTTGCAGCAAAAACTGTCTTGTGCCATCTTGCAAATGCATCACAGCAAATGTCAGCCGTGCTGAGTAGCCTCTGGGGAGGTGATGTGTTTGTGATGTATTTGTGACTATGAGTTTATGACAATTCTGTTTTCAGACCTGTGACTTAATATGTGGATGTTCTTATGGATATGCCTTGTTTAAAGACACAGATGGCTTCATTGACTTCATTAGCTGCATGCTCAGAAATCTGGCACAGATTTTGCTACACTGCTGGATTGAGGTACGCAGGCAATGCAGGAAGCATATTCCTCAGATCTTAGAAAAACTAAATACAGATGCTCTAAAACAGCTATAGCAGCACCAGTAGTTTTTCTAATGTATAAGACAGCTTTAAAAAGTGAGTCTATGTTTGAGATTTTTCTTCTAGAGTTTCATGGATCTAAATTTTGAGTTCTTAGGAAACAAACTAATCATTCAAAGGAAACCTTCAAGACTAAATTCCCAGAGAATATGCTTTTCATCTCTTCTGAATTTTACTGCACTAAACATTCATTTCTAATTGTCCATAAAGCGAAATCACTGTCTTAATAGTAAAGACAGTATTAGTAGTAAATTGTGCCATTTCTATTACATGGCAATTTAAATCCTACCTTTACAACAAATTTCACTGCAACCATAATTACTTGCTACTGATGAACAGATAATGTCCCTCATGTTTTAATTCATATTACATTGTAATTCTTCTGTAGCTTTCCTCCCAGTTCTTCGGACTCCTACAGAAGTTGAGACCCCGGTTTCCCTATTTGAAGTTTGTTCTTTCCAAATGTTTTCTCAGACTCCGCTATTGAAATAAGTTCAAACCATTGAATATCTTCTCTTGGGAACAT